GGTTCAAACGCATAAACCACGTTCACGCCAGAAGAATAATATTTTGGCGACATAAATAACTTTTTAAGTTTTTTTTTTTTTTCGAGCAAAAATATATTTAAAAAAAATAATAACGAGTTCGGTCGAGTGATTACAACAAAGTCCACTTTAAGCCCAAGCAAAGTGATTTTCTGGCAATTAGTGGCAACCCTGGGCGTCTCCCGCTCGCTGAGTCCTAACGTTGCTCAGTGCTCCCGCTCGTTTGCGTGCTTCCACCACGCTCTTGCCCTGTTCGGTTCGGTGTCGTGCTTGCGCTTGAGGTTCATCGCACGCGTCGGAGGTCCTCCATCCGATCCGAATTCCAAAGTCCTATCAGCACCCAGGTCGCCTCAACGCTCCAATGGAAGCGCGCCAACCCCTTCCTACTCGTCAACGCTCCACCGTCGTTCGACGTATCGCACGACGCGAGAGTGGCACACAGAAATATATACAGTACATCTCGTAATACACTATTAAAGGATGATAAAATATAAGGTAGAGAAGTGAAAACTAGATAACTATGGTTGTAAGCAAAATCGAGAGGAGAAAAACCGAAGTGCCGAAGCGGACGATGCGAGCAGGCGACGACGAGGCCTACTAGATAGCTGAAGAGTACAGAAAATTATTCGTAGAGCGAGGTTTGTACAGAATATACGTGAAACAGGCCCTTTTCCAATAATAAAATGCAAAACTATTGATTTTAGATATCGGTGCGATCTTTTGTTTCAATTCACTTCTCTAGTGTAGACCGCTGCTGACGAGAGTGCGCCTTTAGCAGCCGTAAAGGAGTGGCGGGTACTCGGGTTCACGAAAAGGACCTTTCCGCTAAATATCATTTGAGTTTCCGTGTGGAACTGCCTAAATGACATTTACACTAAAGGTCCTTTGGCGTAAGGGTCCTTTTAGGTGCCCGTCTGACAGGGGTATTAGAGGTAGCGCAAGAAACCAACGTTTATGGGTAGGGTTTTCCCGGTAAATACCAATAAATTCCCCCAACAAAACAACAACAACCCCCGTGCCCGGTTTTATGAAGATCGGTAAAAACCGAGAACGCCCAAATTAGCGCTCTCCTTCTAGAAGAAAAAAACGTAAGCCTCCGGAGAAAAAACCATAAAAAAAAAACTTCAACTTTAACTGCCTTGAAAACAGCCGCGCACTGAAATGTTGTCGAGACTACTGTTTTATTTACAAAAAAAAACTGCATCGTCGTTAGGCATTATTGCCGGGAATCAGATTAAAAAACAGGTTTCTTAACATAACTGAATTACAATTACAAATTATAAAATAAAAATTTCCTACAATAACAACTGTGGTAAAAAAAAAAAGTTTAATCTTACACGACTGGAAGACTGAAAGACCCAGTCCTTAAACACACATTGGACAACTATATCGAATAGAATTTTAAAAGTTAGTCAATAACGCATCTTTTGTCAACCTATTCCATTCATTCTAATAGTTCTTCGCGAAACAGACCTCTTATCAGGCACGTAGCCAGGATTTTTTTTCGGGGGGGGGGGGGGGGGGGGGGGGGGGCGCCCATGACAAAGCTGTATGAGGGGGAGAGGGGAGAGGAGGTTCCAGCAAAATGGAAAATTTCGGGGGGGGGGGGAGCAAGCCCCCCCCCCCCTGGCTACGTGCCTGCCTCTTGTGTTTTTTAATGCGAAAGCATTAACTGGGGGGGTCTCATGAAGCGAGCTGACGTCATCAGTTTGAAGCGCGAAAACGGCTCCTAGTTTCCGCGATCCCCTTCGGTTCCATTGGCTGGCGCGCGTCGACGGGGCTCCTATTGGCCGCTGCGCCATGGCCTCGGAGATCCCGAAGCGCGCGCGCGCTAGTACGCAGCAGACGACAAAGGGAGCAGACGAGCGGCTTGCATGCTTTCGCAGTCACAACTCATGAGAAATGCTTAGGTGTATTTATGGCAAATTCCGCTAGTGGATTTGGAGCGGTTACGAAGCGATTCCTTTTTTTTTTTCCAGATAAAAACCATTTCTTTGACCGATACCGAAAAGTTGCACCGGAAAACACAGACTCTGTAAAAACAACAACAAGAACAACCAAAAACACTCCGAATTAAAAAAACAAACAAAAAAACCCGAAAACACATATTCTTGCATGGGATGAAACAACGCATTAGACTGCTACACACACAGGGTTTGCGCGTCGACCTCCCCAGTGGGACCTGACGTGAACGACGGAACGCCATCGTGCGTTTCCAGTGTCCATGTTGTTGGCAAATAATTTACCGGGGAATACATATTGCTACGCGAGAGTCCAATGACCTTGGGGCCGACAGGCTTGGCGTAGTTCACATGACTGGACATGATATTGGGTTGCAATGTTCTTCCACCTTACACTACCTTACTGGCACTAGTGGGATCCAAGATATATCTATGCTCGTATACGCGACACCACTGATCAAGGAGCTTTTTGGTCGCGGTTTCATTTCAACGATTAAAGCTGACTTTTTTTCAGTCTTTGCTTCGCAAAACTTGATGACGTAGTTGTGAGTTGCATCGTTGACGTGGGGCACCTTTGGTAACGATATTCAAATGTAGCTCTTGGATTGAACACGAGCACTGTTTAAAAACTCGAATTTGACTCGTGGCAATCAATGCCTCGACGAGTATTCAAGCAGTGTCTGGACTCCAATGGCTACAATAATGGGAATAGCCGAATCCTAACGATGTATTGAAGTCAGCGCGTGTGCGGTGCATTTCTACCCCCTGCGGCGTGTCTAGAACAAATAGTGACGGCATATCATTTGCACCAGATGGCGTGACCACTCGTTGTGGCTGCGGAATGAACGCTGTTATTCTTTTATTTATTTTACAGCGATAGCTCTTACGGGCTCTTTCTACCATTGGAAAGGACGTCTGTACTTGCAGTTGCTGGTGTTGTGGTTGGCGATGTTGGGCGTCCGTCGACGATGTTGCAAAATCTTTGAAAAGTATCGCCCACCGCCCGCGGGAATCGAACGCGGTCCGCTACGTGAGAAGCGGAGTCGTTACCACTGAGCTACGCCACAGCTTTTTTTTAAAATTAATATTGAATGAACTATACCAAAGTGTTAATAGCCTGGTCTATATTTAGGGTGTTTGCAGTATACCCGATGTCCACTGCACGCGCTCTCTGAAAAAAACAAAAAAAGAGCCGATAACAAAATGCCGTCGTGGCACTGTCAATACCACGAGCTCAAAACAAACAAAAGCGTTCGGAACAAAATGGCCGGATGTCTATTTTGTTCCGAACGCTTTTGGTTACGGACCCCACAGTGCGTGAGCGCGACGCCGATGCTCAACAACTTCGCCGCGACTGTCGTAGATATCGTTATGACTCCTTAAAACAAAACTCATCATTGTTTTATGCAAGTAAGTTTGTAAAGGAATAATTCTAAGCGGTACTTGGTGAAAGTACAAAAAGAAAATGTTGCATCGCTTTTTGTATTTGGAAGGGGTGACTGCTGCCATCTATCGTCGTGGAAATCTGTGGAGAGAGCGCAGACAGCCGTCTCTGCTGTCTTGGTAAATCCGGTATCTCGGTGCACCGGCAGCAACCCTTTGACTCGGCGCAGCGCCAAAGCGCGACAAAGTGGACAGCGCCGTACGCATGCGTTTTCTGGAATGTGGGGTCCACGCCCCGAATGGGAGGATTTGGAGCTGTACGAGCGCTGTCTAACGCAAAGGAGCGGAGTAGAATGTGTTCTTCTATACTTGGGCTCACAGTAAAGACTCGTTCACGCTTGCGACTCGCAATAGTCGCGCGACCGACTAGCGACGTGCGCGAAGCAACCACCGACGTCTACAATGCGGGTGATCGGCAGGTCGCTACGGACGAGTCGCTTCTCAGATGGTCTCGCGCGAGCCGCCGTCGATCCCGTTTTTCCCGCTACAGCTCGGAGTCGCGTTCTCGCTGCTTTTCCATTTCCGTTGTCGCACGGCTAAACGTGCGTCGTTTTCGCCGTAAGAGAAAAGCGCCGTTCACACATATGCAACCGAATAAGACCGAGAGAGACTAGACCTCTTGCGATCTCTTGGTACCAGCTCCGCTGCAGCGCACACGGACCGAAGACGTCGCAAGAGGCTTGAAAACCGGTGTGGTCTCTCTCGGTCTTCCTCGGTTGCATATCTGTGAACGGCGCTGAAGACTCGCCATATTAAGCTCCTTCGGAACCGTACCACACTGAAAGCCTAATCGCTACACTGGCGCCACTCGGTCGAGCATCCGCGGTAGACTACACATACCTGTCAAGTCAAAAGTCGCGTATGATGCGCCAAAACAAGTTTTTTTTTTTTATGGGTTCGTTTAAATAGGGATCTTTCTTGGATCTTTCTTGTTATAAAGAAACGGGTATTCTTGAACAGCGTTGATCAAAACCGCCGCGGAGAGTTCCGTGGCTCTGTATTCATAGCCGCCACCACGAACCGAGTCGTTCTTCACTTCCGAGGTAGCCGCTGATCAGTTCAGCCGCCGGGCGACTCGGCGACCGGTTCGAAAAATTCGGCCTGGAAGCGACCGCCCCGAAGCGGTCGCTTTTGCGACAGCGACCGTCACTTTTTCAACAACAGCGAAAAAAAAAAAAAAAATGACGCGCGCGACAGTTCCGAATTTCAAGTATGGCTGCGCCTCAAGTCTGAGCGCAAATGACGTTTCGATCCGGTGAAGCCAAACAATCAGTACCAAAAGAGCATTGTCAAGTTGCTCGTATTCTCCGTGCGTTTCCTATAACCGGCTAAACCAATCACGTACAAAAAAAAAAAAAAGAAAAACTGAAAATCGCGGCACATTCAGTGCGCCTGGTTGGTGTAGTCCGTATTAGCCAATGCACAAAGAGGACGACTGCCGCGACGATCCATCGGATCGTGTCCTCGCTCGTACTCGGCGTCAAACTGAGCGTAGTAGCGCGTGTTCGTTGAGTGATGAATGTCCCTCGGCAGAGTCCCCCTCTCGGCTGGCCGGGCCCGGCGATCTGGTGGGCGGCGCGGGACTGGTGCCGACGTCCAAGCTGGGCAAGCAGTACGTCGCCCTGGACTCGGACTGCATGAGCGTCAAGAGCGAACACAACCTCACCAATGTCCTCATACAGAACAAGTGAGCCTCAACCCGTGCGCCTCCTCGATCGCGAGGCCGGGCTGCCCAATCTTCGACGTCTGCTGAAGAAGGCCAACGCGAGGGGTGCAGGTTGGAGACGAGCGCTGAGTTAGCGTTCGGCCGGGACTCGTTTTCAGTCTGTTACCCATGCGGGAGTCCGTTCGATGACGAAGAAAAATCTAGATTTGCGGCCTTGTTACATAAAGATTTTTTTTTCTTTTTATCTCGTCTTTTGTAGGGTTTGGGCTTGTGTAAGCTTGTTGCGCTCAGAACTTACAAAAATGTCGACATCTTCAAACAATCAAACAAGAAAAAAATTATCTCAAGGACTTAGCGCTCATGTTGTTCTTGTTTTCCTTTTCCCGCAGTTGAAGTTACGGTTAACGTACGAGGTAGGCCGACGTGTTTTAAATCATTTACGTTCCCTCAGGGATGTCGTATCTTTTACTTGTACACAAATTGAACACTTAAACAACAAAGGTTGTACAACTCCCGGTATTTTTTTTTTTTTTCCGTTAAATTTTTAGGAGACAAATTTGGGTCAACTTGAGGGGACGCACATGGAAGGGCGTTGCCGCGAGTTGTGCTTTTCCGCATTATGGGTATGCCTGCGGCGAAGCACGCTTGCCGGTTTGATGGCTATCACCGTGATGGCTGTTTTCGTTTACCTAGTTTCTCGGCGTATTGTGTCCTTTATCGCAATATCCGAGGAAGACAAAAGTTTCTTTCGAATAAAACAAAAACTCACTTTAAAAAAAAATAATTAAGGGCCGGTGCAATCAAAAAATATTAAGGAGGTTACGAAGCACGTGAAAAGTAGCGTGAGTCATTAGTTTCCAGATCAGAGTGCTAAGTTTTCACTCTCTATTCAAGCTGTTTTTATGATTAAATCGTATACTTATGCCCACGTAAAAACACTTACCTACCTTTTTTCTTTTTTTTTTTTTTTTTTGAGGGGGGGGTAATTTTGCGCGTTGAGCTGCTTCGCGCCGTAAAAAACTTGACACAGTTAGCGAAAACAGCAGTCCTTTGATGTGTTATAGTATTCTCCCACAGCTGAAACTATTTTACCAACAATACGAACCAGGGTAAAAAAAATAAAAATAAATTATCAAATAATTATTATTTATTTTATTTAGGTCAGATTTTTGTGATTTATATAAAATTATTTTGATTCAAACCGCTGTAGCTATAAAATAGTTATTTATTACCAATAGATGTATTTTTCAACAAGACAGATTGATTGAGTAATTGGACCGATCACTGATAACAATGCGGAATAAAAAATAACTGGAAATGTAAGGTACACTTTAAAAACACTTTTTTTTTCTGTAATCCCCGACGTAATAAAACACAAACAGCCTAATTGTTTTAGTAAGTTAAAAATCTTTTTGTTTTCTTTGAGTTCTGACTTTACTGCAATACGATATTTCTCTAGTTTTTATTACTTTCTTCGATGTTTTGTTTTTATTCCAATAGGACGTTACGTGCTTGACCAACGAAATGGAAAGTAGAATTCAAGCTCAACGCTTCGATTTGCACAGAGGAGCACTTCTTTTTGCTCGTGTTCAGTCTTCTATTAGTCTTTGTTGACGGTTATTTGATTTAAACAGAAAAGAAATGCACATCAAAAACATCAAATGATAGACAAGTGGTGAATAAAAAATATTTGCGAGAATAGTTTTGCGGGAAAGGTAAAATCTAAATCGTCATATTAAAACCATTCCGAGTTAGATGACGACTTAAGTCATATGATCGAAATATCAATTACAATCATATCGATGTTTATTCACCACCCCTTTCGACACAAATGTGAATATTATGTTGTAGATAATTGTGTCGCACAGTGTATATTGCTGAGTTTCTTTCCACCTAACTCGAAGGCGCGTCCGGAACGCTAGTCACTAGAGAAGAAAAAATAAATAAAAACGAGCGCCAACGCCGCCAGGACGGAGGCGCGCACAACGGCTCCTCCGAAAGAAAGAGAGGGGAACACTGCGTGCCCATGCGCAGTTGCCGAGCCCCGATGGCCAGCCTGGAGTGCCTGGACGAAGGCACGTTGTCGAGCGCCAGCTCGGTGCCGGCCAGCCAGCCGCCCACCCGCCAGGTGTCGCTCTTCGCACAGCCGGCCATCCGATACAGGTGGGCAGAGGCTGCTTCGATGACAGCGCCGCTTCCGGGCTGGACACGCTCACGGAAAGACTCCATAGACCCTTTTCGAAAAGTCCGCGCCATCTACTAACTGCGGCGCCATTTTTCTGACTCCGCTATTGTTCGGGCACGTACTCTGACTACATAGTAGACACAGTCTTGGGTAGTGTCCCGTGAATAGTATCGCGATACAGTAACTCGTTAGTAACGCGTTCCTTTTATTTTTAAGTAACTGTAACCGAACCAGATTCTTAAAAATCTAATTGTAACAGTAAACAATTACTTAAAAAGCAACGTACCCAAGACTAAAACTAGACACAAATTGATGCGTCAGCGTTAGGCATAAACTCTGCTCAGCTCGTGTCGAAAAAAAGCGCTGCGTCATCGTTGGGTGAGAAGTCGGGATCGGTCAGAAGTTTCGCACACCAAAAAATGGCGATCTCCAGACTCCGATGGGGTTTCGAAAAGGGTCCATTGAGTAAATCTGACGTGGCGGGGCAACAATCGATCCTGCTGCTGCTTTGCACTGTATGAATGTAATTCGGGGGGAGGGGAGAGAGAACAATTTTTGGGGCTAAGTTTCGCTACGTTGACCCAAGACAGTGCCGAAAAGAGCAGCCGACAGTTTGATCCAAGGGGGCGGGTGTCTTAACCCTGGACACGGCGCTGACGTATAGGTGCCATGGGTGGGCAGAGGCAGTTCACTCCCGTGTGCTCAGTTTCGTCTCATACCAAGAGACGTTACAAGCCACGTTAACCAATCCAGCGTTCCACGCGTACCACGTGATTTCAAGACTGCACCACCCTAAGATATAAAGTAACAGAAAGGTATACGGATGTATGCAATCCAGTGAATGAATGTTGTCGTAGGCTGATATACCCGTCCTAAAACTAAACGTCCGGCATGGCGTACACTACCAACTAATACAAGCTTAGTACAAGCTTGCAGAAAGAGCTTGAAAAAAAATTCTGCAATGCCTCAGTCTTGAAGCCGACGTTTTGCTAAGAAGCTTAGCCTTTAAGAATGTAAGCCTCCTAAGAAAACGTCGGTTGCCGGTCTGTGGGTTTTCAACGGTCTTCCTAGAGTTCTCCGAATTCGTTTTATTCCCAGAAAAATGTGTTTAGTAATGTGTATGTATGTATGTATCACACAGAGTTGTCGCGCTTTCGACTTTTATAATAATTTTAAGACTTATGTATTAACGTGTTTTATTTTATTTTGTTTTTCACTTTTTTTTATACAGATACACAAAGCAGATGACTTTAGCCTCGAATCATTTCACTTAGATTCACTGGTTTCACTTACTGCCGTTGGCCCTGTGATACCAGCGTGTTGATTTTTTTTTACTTGTACACATCCTGTGCATTCTTTTTTTTTTTTTTTTTCGGCAATACGTGGCAAACACATTTTGTGATGTGTTTCTTTTTACGGTGAAAGCCTGTAAAATGTTTCACGTAGGGTGCTCGTGGCATGTGACGTCATAGTGTCTCGTGACGTCATTATGTTGCATAATGTCGTGTAACGTGACAACGTGCCGAAAACATTATCCCGCTAAATTTAGCGTGGACAATTGATCCGCAAATCGTAATGGTAAAATAGGTGCGCAGCGTGACTGTGTGTACTCTGGCTGTTGCAGAATGCGGCTCGTCGGCTGCTGCCCAAGTTTATATTGCAACACACAAAAAAAAACTGTTTTTTTTTGTTTTTTTTTTACGGAAGTACATTTGTTTAGTGTTTGTAGGTCGTGCTTTTTTACATTATTAATTGATTCGCTCCATTACTTTGTGCTCTCCCAAGGAAGTTAGGAGAGCCGATTTTCCCAGCTAACCGCCGTGCTCTCAAAATTATCGTTCAGCTACAACCTTTCGCTTTGCTAACGTTTTCGCGTTTGCTTCTTCCCGTACGCAGAAATCTGGGCAAGTCAGGCCTGCGCATATCAAACATAGGACTAGGTAAGTGAACCAGTATTCTTTTTTTGTCCTCGTACGTCAATATGGCAGACGTCGATATCGACAGAAGCAGAAGCTGCCACGTCCATTACTGGGAGTAGCGTACATAGAAGAAAGCAAACACGCGTAGGCTCCATTCAGTTTGCTCCCCTTGCATTTGGAGAACTAAAAACAAACGATCATGCCAAAAATCACTTGGGATAATCTTGTCCAGAGCTCTACAACATGCGCATGAACGTTGGCAGCAGATACGGGCGCGAGGGTACGATCAATTAATTAAACTTCAATACTTGTTCAGAAGAGTCAAACGGAAAAAATCTCTAACTTCACATTTGTTGAAAAAAAAAAAAAAAAAACACGCCGGCGTAACAGCAAATTAAATTTTCTAAATAAAATCCTATGCTTGTTTTTTTTTAGCTATTGGTTTACCTCGATATTGAATGTATTAGCGGAAGCTTGAATGTGTTCATTTGTGGCAGCTCATTTATGTCTTCATAAATCATACTATAAAATAAAGCCCTTCGCTTTAGAAGGCTCACGAGGCATAAATAATTATGTTTATTTTCTGTTCCTGGAGTTCATTAAGGCGTTTGGCTTTGCTTCCAATAGATATGATGCTAATGACAGTGACGTCATTGTATATCGGTGTCATGATGATACAAGTGGAGCCATAATAATAGAGAGCAAAAGGAGAATAAAAAGAGAGAAAGGGAAGGAGTAGAAAGAAGGCTTTGAGGTCAGGCCTTCTCCCATACCATCTCTTTTACTGCTTTCTATTCGTTTCAGGAGACTGCAGGCGATAATCGCAAATCGTAAAACAAAGTAATCGTGTTTGTTAAAAGAAAAAAAGAAGAAAAACATTCCGACAGTACTTTGGTCATAACAAAATCGTCATACGCGGAATTAGTCGGTAAATATCAGTACAGTAGTATTTATGTGTCGGGATTCATACCGCGACCTCCAGCGCCTATCTGTTTTGCATGTGTGCGACGATAAACGTCGTTGCGTTGACAGACTGCATTGTTCTCTTTTCCGTAATGTTTCTGCGTCTTTGCTTCTACGTCTTATATTTGTTTACTAACTGTGGGTAGTCGCATTATTCCCAGTATCTTAGTGCACTCTATTTTCGGGCCATCGCTTTTTTTTTTAGCGATCTCGGTATTAGCTGAGGCCAATCACCACGAATCGCAGTGATTGGATAGCTGCGTGTTCTGTGGGAGAGTCTGGAAAGTCTCCACACGTGCATGTTGTTTGTTGAAGCGTCGGATACGTGAATCGGAGCTCTGAGCATGCCCATTGGTTTTTTCAGGCACCTGGGTTACCTTCGGATCCCTAATTTCGGAAGAGGTGAGTTGCTCTGCTGGGACTAAAGGGCCCCAGCGTTTGAGGGCCAGTTTGGTCGAAATTTTTATTGTTCTTATGACCGGCAGTCTGAAGAAACGTAAAGTCTCATGGAGAGAAATTTACCCCTCTTTGGGAGATGAGGGAGATATGAGCGTTTATTGATTTCCTGAGAAAAATAATAAAGCACGTTGGGTAAAAAAAAAAGCTTTGTTTTGTTTTTGTTTTTGTTTTTGTTTTGTTGTTGTTGTTTTCACAAAGGAAAGCGTTGTTCCCAGCTTCCAACGCGTGTTTTTTCGCCGTTCGTCATTTCGTCATTTTGGAGTAAAATACTTTGTTCATGTGCTTTTCAATGTTTCTTTGTTTGTCTTCTTAGCCACGCAAGAGAACTTCTTTTTATTACGGGATTTTTTGCTTCGGCGGTTGTATTTCTTTAACATCTCACTCAGTCACGGCGCTAGCTTTAAGTGTGACTCGCCAGACAAATAGTAGTTACCCACATGCAGAGTTACTTTACTGCGCAAGATTTTAGGCATTTTCAGGAGCTAGAAACATCATAAAATCATTCGGACGCGTTATGGCTTATATAAAAAAAACGAAAGACAGATTGAGTGCATGCACAAACAAAAATCACGCGTTTTTGAGAGCGTTGCCTGACAGATAATAACTTCACTGGATGAACGTAGCAACTAGGATACACTTTTGGTGGAAAGAAAAGAGTTTCTTCAGTTAGGAGGTCAATTATTAAAAACTGATGACGGTGTGCTACTGGAAAAGTGTTAAAGGTACCCTGCATGGATCTAGCGTAGAAAATAAACATTTGCGTATTCTGATGCCATGAAAACGATCAGGCAATGATCTTACTTTAAATGCGGGGAACGTTTTGTAACATAGCATGAAACCCCGGATAGTATTTGAAGTGCAGCATACCTCTGGATCTTTCTTTTTTTTTTTTTTTAATTCGATAAAAAACTTTTTCACAAACTTTGCACGGCATGCTTTTTTTTGCGTTTTGTTAATTTGTGGTCTCACGTTTGTCACAGGCAGCTGAGGAAATCGTGACCGCGGCGTTTGAAAGTGGAATCAACGTGTTCGACACAGCGGACATCTATGCCGGAGGAAAGTAAGTCACCGGTCATACATTCGTCTTTTTTCGTGGGATTAACCAGCGTAAAATGTGATCCGCTTTAGACATTGTGATTTTCATTTGTATTCAAGCGTGGGACACGTTTCGTGGGTACACCGGAAAGCACTGCAAGTTCCAACTTGCGTTCAGAACAACCGAAACAACAGCAACGACAAATTCACCGGAACAAGTGTTAGTCGTACATAACGTCGCAAACGGTGCAAGAAGGAGCTTCGCGCAGCAATCATGAATCACGTATGTCCTGATATCCTGGTCGTTGCTGTCATTTTAATTGCTGTGGACGCGAAGGAGGTAAATCTGGGAATTAGGTTTAAATGTTTTGAACGATATCACAAAGACACCGTAAGAAAAATCGGTTGTGTACCCATATTTTGAAATCGCTGTGATTATTTGTTTACATCTCAAGTCATGTGCATTGAATGTATCATAACTTTTAAACAAATTACACAATTATACCCTTACCATAAAAACAAAAAAAAAAAAACCAAATCTGCACGTCAAAGAGCCGGTGATGTCGGGTGTGACAAGGCCACACAATGGGCATTGCAGTTGTTTGTCGTTGTTGTTGTTTTTTGTTAAAAAAGTGCTTTGCATAAAAAGTAACTTTCTTTAAGAATCTCTCATATCGAAAGACCTTATTCAGTTATTGCTTGAAGACAAGTTTCTTGGGAGTTAAATGGCTTTGGCTCAGTCAAGAACCATAATTTCAGCGCCTGCTGTTCCTTGTGAAGAAAATTATGGATGCATGTAATAAATTAAAGGAGTTTTCCTTGTCGATCTTCAGGCTTACAATAGCGCATTCAAAAGAGCCGGCGGCCGAGCGTCCGATATGACATTGTCTTAGGAAAGTTCAACGACGACTGCTGTTTTTTTTGTTTTGTGTGTGTGTGTTTTTATTTTTTTTTATTCAGGGTTCACAGTGGAGAAAGAGAGAGAGATACAGTTTATTTTAAGCAGGATGTCAAACCGAACCCGAACCTGAACCTAAAACCGAATCAAAACGGTTATTTTTGACCAAACCGGAACAAAATCAAAACCGAAATCGAACGCCTCATATTGAACCCGAACAGGAACGAAACCATAATCTGATGTGGCGGTTACCGGTTCAACGAAAACGGTTCAGGGCCAATTGTGTGAATAATTGGTCTAAATGTGAAAAGTCGAAGGCGTATTTTTTTTTTTTTCTTATTTTGCCAAGGCTAATTCTACATAATGTAAGATATTTTTACATTTCGTTTTTGTTGCATATGTAATAAAGAAATACATTATCGTCTGGAGAGCTTCAATTTTTTTTGTTTTTTTGTTTCTTGGATTGCCCCTGGCGGCGCGGTAGCGGCGGCGGCGATTTCAAAGCACCGCTTGGCCACTTGGCTACGAAATGTCCGAGTGTCCGAGCGGATCGCGCCATTGTAGGCACGGAGGCCTACGCGTCCGCGAATGTTTGACCTCAAGAAGGACCCTAGTTGCAGTCGACGAGCCATTTAGCCAATCGAGCTCCGAGAGCGCACCACGTGACCTTCCGCTTGAGTGCAGCGACACCCTGCAGGAAGGGGGGACAAGTATACCGCGCTATAGTATAGTCGGCAGTATAGTTGGTAGGGTCGCCTGTGGTCCATTTAAATGAAAAACATTTCCTTCTACGTGCTCAAAATGATACCTTACAAAAAAAGATGGGTTTGTCCGAGGCAACGTTGCTCGGCGACGCGCAGCGCCCTGGATGGAGGCAACGGGGATAAAGGGGGGAGGAGGAGGAGGAAAGAGGAGAGGAGAAGAAAATGTTTTTTTTTTTTTTTTTTGTATGTTTGGCAGATTAGCAAGGCCAGCATGTCGCCTGTTCAACCAATTTCTCATTTTTGTTCGAAGCCCTCTTTCATCGTCTTCAACTGAGCATTCGAGAAACGTCGTTCGCTGTGGTGACATTACCGGAACTTTGTTCGGTGGCTGACAGGCACAAAGGACCCGGTCTGAGTCTCTCAGACCTGGTCATTTGCATAGAGCTTTGTTTGCGATAAAATCTCAAAGTGACTAGACAAAGCATCGCCGCGAGGTTTCTAGAACAGCGTTTTTCCGCCGGAACCCGAAGCGCTGTCAAGACGTAGTCACATTTCATTATACGCGCGTGTTCACGTGCCCGGTCATTGATCGGCCAGTCTGGCCGATGTATACACGACCACAGCTGAACGGGATTCGATAAACTACCCCAACTCCGCACTCGATGTCCCTGTTTCTGTGTTTTACGGCACATTTCTTTCCTCTCGTTCCCCTGTCAGCCACTCCAGGGCATAGCTGTGACCTCTTGCTGGGTGCCGAAAACAGGTAGCATGTATAAACAAAACACGTGTGTGCAGCGCAAAACAAATTAAAACGTATGTAGGGCAAGCAATCTAGCCAGAGACCTTTTTACAGTTTACAAAATCCCAGCCCAGCGTGCGATCTTCACAGCCCAGCACGTGCGTGTTCGTCGCTTCGGCAAGCGAGCAAAGCACGCGCTATACGCCCGAACACTAGGGATGGCACCGGCCACGAGCTCTTTTTTGGAAAGGTCTATACACCCATCCCAAAAATACGCCCTCTTCTGGCAGAGTTTGAAATACTGCACAGCTGCGTGTGCAAAAGACACCATAAAAATGGAAAGCCGATCGTTTATATATAGTTCACTTAAGAACAGCTATATACAAGTAATAGCTTTGCCACATTAATGGTATCTTTTGCGAACGTCACTGTGCAGAGTTTTCATTTCTGCCTGAAGAGGGAGTATTGGGATGGGTCTATTGCAAGTATCTCGTGTTCAGAAAAGGCTGCACGAAGAGCTCGGTCAATATTCAAAGGTCGAGTTAGGAACCGGTTCGAACCGGTTCGCACTTATTAAAACCGGTAACCGGAGTGTGCGCTACCCTAAACCGGAACTGAACCGGAACAAAATACAATGCTACTGAACCCGAACACGAACCGAACCGAAATAATGACCGGTTCGGCACTCAGATTTTAAGACAACTCCCAGTCCGAGTCGTCGTTTTACAGTGGAGTGGAATCTACGTGACGGCTGAACCAATGAACCATCGGTCTTGTTCCACGTGACTACACTGCTCGCCCGTGTAGCGTCGACTAGTGAAAGTAACTCTGCCACAGTGTTACGCTGCCGCAAGACCGACGGTTTGTGGGCCCTGCAAGCACTTAGCTTCCGCTTCACTAAACAAATTATACTTGACATATAACGCACCTAAAGGTCCTAAACTGAAGCTACAATTAAAAAGACTAAACGTGTTTTTTTTTTGTTTGTTTTTTTTAATAAAGAGGAGCTTCAATTGGGGGATATGTGGCAGGCAAATGCACAAGCTGATCACCACATTCGCAGCTGCAAGGTCCTTATTTTGTTGTCGGGTTAGTTGGAACGCCTTTAGCGTGAACAGCGCACACTGTAGCAGATAAGAGCCACTAAAGTGAGATGGGAGGGCATGCACCTGCGCCGTCTAGCGAGCCCGCCGCCGACTCCGCGTTGTTTTTGCGCCGGTGCAGAAAGTCACAAGAAGCGATTCCTTTGTATGTTCTCTTCCCCGACAGGGCGGAGATTGTGCTTGGCAAGGTGCTCAGGAAGAAGCGCTGGAGGTAGGTTTCTTGTTTTGTGTGTGTTTTGTTTGCGGCTGTCTGTCTGCCTTGAGCTCGCTCTCCCGCCCCGCTCGCCACCTCCTCGCGGTGGGCCTGGCCTCGTTCCAGGTCTTTATGCAAGCGGGAAAGTGAGGGCAACACGTTGTTCGGTGTTGGCTGAACGGAGCTGCGTCACGCTCGTTTGACGGAACGCTTTCCTCCGAAGGACGACCTCCGTGAAACGAGCGCCGGTGCGGTACATACGCGAGTGCCGTTGTTGTCTGGCGCGTAACGCTGAATCGTCTCTATTTCCGCCTCTTCGTCCGCGCAATTAGCGCGCCCGATAAAGCTCGGCCGGCTAATAAACTAAGGTGGTTAGGGGACGCACCAGTCCGTCAAATTGTTTCGAAAGACAAACAATAGACAACGGCAACGCAATACTGACGACGCATACCGTGGTTCGGGACCGAGAAGATGCGAACTATACGCGTTTGATTATGTTTACCCCCGCAAAATAGCTTCCGTTACTAGCTTCCTCGATGCCAAATGTGTCTAGCGTTTATGGTTCTGCCATTATGAAATATGATCACTCGCTCAGTGACAAAAGATTGGGCTTGCGAGATTTCCTTAGCATCGAGCAATTGCGTTGTAATAGTTACCTTACACTTATTCATTGTCAAGAATATGCTCTATCGTTTACTTGTTGCGTTTTTGACCAGGTGACTGCAATAGACCTTTGCATCGCTTATCACTCGGGCGAAAAATACTGAGTCACTGAGCTGCGGACGTATACGCATCATCTTATGTACAGGACAGCAGAGCAACAGCGCATGCGCAGAAGGCGCTCCACGGCCCAGCAGAGAAAGATGGCACCGCGCAGAAGGCGATTTTTGCGAAGGTCAATAGCAGACAGCTTTTTGTGTGTGTGTCTGTGTTTTCCTAGTTCCTCTGCATATGTTTGTATCATACTGGCCTCCCCTATGCTTAATGATTTTAGAAAGTTACAAAGCAAATTTTCCACGAGGAAGTCGAAAAAAAATTCAATCACCTAAAAACACACTATTACAAACAAAAATGCGACCAAACAAACAAAAAAAAAGATTTCATGTATAAGTGTATGTCCGTTGACGCAGACTTTTGGATAAGGGTATATTGTGCCTTTTTCGAAAACCGCGCCAATGCGTGTCCGTCTTTGCTTAATCACGTATTTAAAACATGCATTGGACACGAGGCCTGCGTCAGCGTTCGGCGATGGCTCGGATCCAATGACGCGCTTCGTGCCCAATGAATGGATGGATGGGTGCTAACGGCTGTACCCTTTATATCGGGCGGCAGCTTGCGCCATCTAGCCTAGTTTAGCGTCAACAATGTCGACTGCCAATGTTGCTCGATGCACTTTCGAAAAGAGTCTATTAATAAGGTTTCACGAAGCCTACATTTCCTCAACCGCAGACGATCTTCTTACGTAGTCACGACCAAGTTCTTCTGGGGAAACAAGTAAGTAAACTCGACCAAATCCTGGCACGCAGGCAATTGCCTAAATTAACTTATATATATATATATATATTTGCTAAATGTTCGCACATTAGGCGCAAAATCTCGCTTACACCTATAGGGAGTATTCACTGGCGGCCATAGCTGTGTGCGCGATTGCTGAGCGCGTGCTGACGGCGAGCTTCCACAGTTCTTTTTCAGCGTGCATTTTGCACCATCAAGATTGCCGGTCTTAGCAGTCTATTAATGTGACCTCGCTTTGAGCATGCGCTTTAAAGAGCACCCACAAATATGGCGTCCAGTGAATACTCCCTATACTGGTCGAAGCGAGGTCTAACAAAAATTCGTATTTATTTTATGCCAGTTACGTCGAGCACCCCAATGCGCGTACCCAAACGTTTATCTTGAAACCAGTGCATCGAATAGCGATCGTGGTGAGTGTATAGAGTCTAGACTGTATAGCTTTATTCTTCCAAGGTCCGACCCAGAACGAGGACTCTCAAGAAAAGTCATCATAGAAGGTGAGTCATTCTTTCTCAGATCCGCTGAAGACTTAAGGTCACACTGCTGATACAACAAACAAAAGACAGTTTGCAGTCATTGTCGAGTGCTGCCACACTGATCACAAAGAAACTGTCTTTAGACAGGAGCAAACACGTATTGCTTCAAACGTCCTTGGGGCGTGTCGGCAGATCTTCCTCTCATCATGTCTTCGGCGAACATAGTGTATTTTGTATGAGGTATGAACGGTTTGGCTGCGAGTTTCTAGCTTCGTTCGGACGGCTGCCTTATCGCGTTCAGAGGGAACCGAAACGGGAGCGAGGACGATGAAGTCACCCGGACAACTGCTATCGCAAAAATGAGCGTCGTCACTTTTGTTTTTGGTTGATGGAGACGCAGCCGAGGCAAATCTGTCAACTAGCCTTGTAAGGTGAAAAGGGGACGACGACTATTTATGACGCGAATCTCGAGCGTGCCTGCAGCACGACACGAGAAAAGAACGAGACTGAATGGGATAATAGCTTCCAAGACGGTCATTCGGTCGCCCGGTTTAATGTCCTTCTTCGTGACCAACGTCTTTTGTGGTGTCCTCTTGGGCAGACATTCAATCTTGGAGTTTGTTCTTAAGCTCGCCCCAGGTCACGGTGTAAGATAATACTCTTCAGGTGAGGACAGCGCGCTCCTCGCGCAGTGCAGATAAAGTTCGCTTTTCACTCTCTCTCTTTCTCTCTCTCACTATGGTTTCAAGCGGCGCCGGCACATGACTCGTCGACCCGCGGGCACGGCAAAGACGGCTCGTGCCGCCTCATGCTTCACACGCGCCGAGCTCCAGCGAGGTTGTCGCTCGTGCAGAAAGACCCCGGTGTACCCGGGTGTCCATGGCAATGAGATCATTTTTTTCGCTCTCACACAGTTTCGCCGTTTGGCTGCCGGCGACAGTGTCAGCCGCGGGCACGATGGCCGCGGAATAATTCAGTCTTCCGGATGCCCGTCGAACGAACACTATGTGATTCCTCGCGCCCCGCGTTCAGCCCCGCCGTGTCCACACCTAAAGAGTGTATCTTACACCGTGCTCCAGATGAATTATATGCTTTAATTCGCTTCATTTTAAAATTTCTGTTAATTTCGGGATGAAGAGGTATCAACACTCTGTCAAATAACTATTTTCTTTAAAATGTCCAGCCTTCTCATTTTGGTTACAGTGTTCTAGAGGGTGTAGGGGCAAGAGCGGCGCCCGCTTACAATAGGCCGCGTGAAGACGGTCGACGTAGATGGCCACGAGTGGCGCTGGAGTTCCGAGGCCACACGAACAATTTCTGGCAGAAGCCCTCGGCTTCCGAGTTGGGGACACAGGCAGGGATGCTGTGTGCTGGCCCAGTGCGGACTTAAATCGCGCTGCAGTGGCACTGCAGCCCAGCTGGAAGTGCAGCGACGCAGCCGAGAGGACTAAAAGGAGGCTGGAGGACTGGTGGCGAAGAATGCAACAGTAGTGTAATTTTTTTTCTCTCCGTTTTTATTCGGCTAGGTCTGATTTCTATTCAAACCACCCGCTTCAAAGGGAACAGCCATAAAATCATCATCATCATCATCATCATCTAGGAGAATTGGTGGCATATGGCAGATGTGCGATGAGCGAAGAAGAAGGCGAGGCTGAGGCGGTACGCTTCTCCCGAATGTAGCATTGTAGCAGTTTTCTTTGCGGTGTAGGGGTGGGGAGTTTTCACCGTTCCGTTGCCGTCTCGGTCAGGAATGCAAGGGAAAAAACGGACACACGCTGCTTTGCGCCGAGATGCAAGTCGGGCTGCCCCACTGATCTCAGAGGTCAGTGGGCTACCCGGACAACAAGGGCAGCCGGAGCACCAGCGATCGTAAGCCGTCGCTGTTTCGTGTGCCAAAGGAGAAGCCGCCCAGACTGCTGTGGGAACAAATTCTTAAACGAGAAGATAAACGCCTCGCCGAGACATGAGCGGTGTGCGCGAGACATTTGTCCATGGTACGGGCTGTTCCCTTTCCGCGGTGCCACGGCTCTCCTGAGCCAATAAAGATTACGATTACGATTACGATTTTGAACCGCTCCTTATCCTTCGAGACTCTCTGCACATCGTCAATGGCGAAGAGGTTAGGATTCTGCGTCGCAATATATTACGACTTTTTTGTAGTCCTTTTGCGTAGTATGTTGCTGGGTGTCTGTCACGTGCTTGCTGTGTAAGTCAATGAAATGTATTACCACTTTTGAGAGGTCATAAACCAGTGTGTTGAGAATAATATTTTTTTTTTCATGTTAGGGGTTGTTGAAGTTTGTGTTGATTATGTATTTTAATACTTCATATATTCCCAATCGAGGTATTTTTGTTCATAAACTGCCTTCTACAAGAGACAATTTGCTATATGCTCGCCAGTTGCAGTAGCACCTTGGCCGTTCCCAAACGCGCTCGGCCTTGCACCTTCCACAACGCTGGTCCCCGCATCAGCAACACGATGATAAAAAACAATAGACCAGTTTATTGTTCCGCTCACCATTAAAAAAGTGCGAAAGTTTTTTAGATTTATTAGTATATTTTTCCTAGCTATATGAGTGTCTTGTGGTTTCTTTCGCAGCTATTAATCCTGCAGCCCAAGTGATAGTGTTGCTGAACGATCTGTCAGTACTGGGGGGGGGTGAAGGGGAGGGGGAGGAGTGGATCATAATTAAATGATCTCCCTCAAAACATGCGAATATTTCAAGTAGAGGATGGCACACACTCTAGAGGCATTAGTCCAAAGGCAGAACTACAATTTTTGTACATTCGCAATTGTTTCGCGTCGCGAAAAGCTTTAGTCGAACCACAGTAGTGGTTCGACTGGAGCTTTTGGAGCTTTTGATTTCGTTGTGGCTGGAGCCACAACGTAATCAAAACCTCGTCTTTTGGTGAAGGTGCATTTTAATTTAGGTCACACCTACAGCTGGCCGGCGCCAAAGCAGAATAAACTATTTTCAAAAGCGCCATCCAATTATGAAATCAAAAATGTGGGCTCGCATACCGTTCTAGGAAATATCAAAATAATTCCGTGGCAGTTGGATTCTATTAGCTGTAAAACTGATCTGTCGAGTCGATTTCTTCGGAAATGTATTGAAGTTGAGTCCGGATTCTGGTAAACGCAAAACGCAGGGTCGGATCCAAGGGGGGGGGGGGGGGGGGGGGGGGGGGCGACGGGGGCGGCCGCCCCCCTTCAAACAAAGTCGACCCCCCCCCCCCTCCCCCCTTCTCGAAGGGCAATTTGCCGTGGGTGGACCTCCCGGTGCACAAGAAAGAATGGGAGAATAGTATCCTTACAAATTTTCCGCCCCCCCCCCCCCCCAAAAAAAAAAAAAAAAAACGAAGTTCTGGATCCGCCCCTGGCAGAACGTTCACATTAACAGGAGTGTTCCTTCGCAATGGGCGCTCAGGTCTGCAGGCGTCGCTTGAGAGACTACAATTGAGCCACGTGGACGTTCTCCTCATCAACAAAGCCGACCCAATGTGCCCCATGGAAGGTGCGCTCATTTCCCCTTTATATACAGTATATATTTTTTTTAATTGTTTTTGTTGTGTGCGGCAATTATTGTCGCGCCCAAACTTGAAAGGGTACGCGTGTCGCTCACGCATGCTTGAACAAAACTGGAGATTGTGGTTGTTCTTCGCACAAGATAGCCGATTTCGATGGGCTCAGCTGCACGCCCACGTTTAGAAACTAGCACGGTCCGAACTTATATCCACAAAAGTGCTATCGGAGGAAACGCGCTCGAGATGAATGTTAGGTTTTTTTTAAAATACAAATGATCTTGTATCTAACGATCACAACAAAACATATTCGATAGATCGTGATAATTTTAGGGAGCCGTGTTTCAAAAACTGCGGAACCACTTTTTTTTTTTTTTTTTTCAGAGCAAACAAAATGGCGGCCTAATTGTGGCTTGTTATGATTCGATATACATGACAAAAAACTCTAGTCCCATTTTTAAGTAATAATTACTATGAAAGCAAAAATCTTTTCTGGCTAAGGGACTGCAATGTAGTTGGTTCGGGATGAAACACAAATAGCTGCGGCAACTAAAATAACATGATGTGATCTTGTGTCCTACTCTCGCAGAAGTCGTGCGGGCGTGCACCCATTGCATCAATCAAGGCTGGGCCATGTACTGGGGCACCTGCCGATGGAGCAGCGTCGAAATAACGGCAAGGATTTACATTATTAAGGCGAAAGCCTTACTTGTCCCATTACGCGAAAAGGCGTCGGCGTTGTCCCCGAAAGATGGCCATAAAAATACGTCATCAATCCGTCGAGAAGCCGTCGTTGTTCGCCGCGCGTGCGCAGTGGGGGAGCGTGATACGTCACCGCCGCAGCGCCATGTGCGAAAGAAGGACGTGGCGCGCTGCTTGCAAGCAGTGTCTTTGGCGAGTTTTTGACTAAATGAACTGAAAAGCCCGCAAAGGGCGGTTAGCGTAAGTTTAAAGAATAAACAAACAAGGTGCTTAATTTTATGCCTTACTTGTTTAAGGTGGTGAACTGGGCCAGTTGGTTGACGTTATACATGATGGGGACAACAGCTCAGTAAGCGCGGACTACGAAGAAGAATAAACAGGACAGGACAACGCTGTTCATCATTGTCTTGTCGTGTTTATTCTTCTTCGTAGTACGCCGTTTTGTGAGCTGTTCTCCCTACCTTGCTTGTTTGTTTATTTTTTCTAGATATTTTAACCTTTTTGTTGTTGTTGTCCTTTAAGACATCGTGAACGGACCACGGGCATATCAGTGTCTAAAAGTCTACTTTATACTCTGGGACAACGTCGCACTAAAAGGTGCCGGAACTTTAGTTTCAAATTAGTGACTTTTTCTGCGTTTACATTTTTTTCTCACAAGGCAAAATCTGCAATCAGTCCGCAATAAACTCACGTGCCTGTCCCGTCACTTGATTTCCCCTGTGGAGATTCGAGTTCTAATGGCCCGAGATCATTTAACAGTTTACACACTTTGAATTAGTTCGAATTCGTAGCATTGGTATTCAGTTGCTGAGAAGACTCTATTATACGCTTATGTTTTCTCTGCAGTTATCGAGATACCTATAACTCAACCAGCAATTAGGTGTAATAAAATGACTGCAGTGTCTTTCAAAATAAAGGATTGGTTTTTCGCCCTTATATCCTACTGGGAAAAACACGTCAGCTCGGCTTCTGGTGGCTCTACAAGTTGCCTCGTCTGGCCCAAAGGAAGCAGTTTCAGAAGCATATCGGGCTTGCACGCTTCACGGGTGGCCATAACGGTTGTTCACGCAACTGGTCGTATTCAGCCAACGATAGGTTCAATGACGCTTTGAGCCGCCGGAAGGTCACAATGCCAACAACGTTGGCGTCATGTAATTTTATCTTGATTATAATCTCACAACTTCCGCTCACGTTTATCCTCCTTAGGAAGCGTACACTGTGGCGAGACAGTGCCACCTGGTGCCCCCCATTGTGGAGCAGACAGAGTACCACATGTTCCAGAGGGATAAGGTAGAGCTACAACTGCCCGAGCTCTACCATAAAATCGGTAAGTTCAGCCGCGTGTGACGTCATTGGTGCGCAATCACCTGCAGTGAATCCGCCATTATTACCCTAAGTTTTTTTTTTTCTTTTTTTTTCTTTTTTGCGCGTGTTTAACTTGGCTGGGGACAGCAAACGCACAAAGTCGACGGGCACAGCAACGATCTACGGTTGTCAGCGTTCAGACTGGTCTTGAAATTAGAACTGCCGAGAGACCAGCTCAGATTACTGATAGTGAAATCAAATGGCATGCCTACTCACCCGCTGATAAAGTACAGGGTGTCACAAAAGAAAATTTACACGGTCTTTTTTACCGCAAAAATAAACTAGGCATCGCCGAACGCTTATTCTCTGCCCAAAGGTAGAGCTAGAGGTCACAACCAGATGCCAAAGTTTCAGTCCGATCCGATAACTTAATCAAAAGTTATAAGTGATTTTCTAAAAATTTTAATGGGAAAATGGAGCCCATTTTAGCCAGTTTTCGGTTTCTGGTGCCATAGAGCCCCATGTGTTCGAAAACTCCGTCGGCCGCCATTTTCCCATTGAAATTTTCCGAAAATTACTTATAACTTTTGATTAAGTTATCGGATCGGGCTGAAACTTTGGCATCTAGTTGTGGCCTCTAGCTCTTCCTTTGGGCGGAGAATGAGCGTTCGGCGATGCCTAGTTTATTTTTGCGGTGAAAAAGACCGTGTAAATTTTCTTTTGTGACACCCTATATAATGAAAATAATCCAGAAAACCTAAGATTGAAAAATCGAAGCATTAAAACGACCACTCTGATCATGATTGTTGATGCTTGGAACTTGAAAAAAAGAGCCGCTACCAGATACCTGATTTGTTTTCAAAATACCCAGGACGTTTTGGCGAATGAAGCGATCATATAGCAGGCGGTAGGCAAATAGACAGCGTTGAAAAATATTTATTCCACCGATTGTTATGAGGGCCGATCGTGTCGGTGTCGCAGTTTCGAAGCACTGTCAGTTCAGCTCAACACCACGCTACAAAAGACGCTTTGGGGTACTGCCGGTGCTAAGTCAATTTTACAGTAGAAATAGGAATTGCATGAAGGAAAGAACCGGACAGAGACACTTGATAGAGTGGCGTAAATCCCAAACATACATCAGCGATGTCACTTTTCTCGGTTAGGGCTATCTGATTTGTCAGCGAATGAAGAACATTTTGAGAAAATAAAGAGCGGAAAATACTCCCCGTGTCAGGTTTTCTAATCACTGTCACTGGTCGATGTCGTACCGTGGTAATTTCCGGCCCTTCGAACGCACTAGCACTTTGTAGAGTCCCATTTCCAGCGATTCCGCGCCGCACACGAACAAAGGTAAACAATCAAGATGGGAGTTGTTCCCCGTGTTGTCCCCGCCGTCAGCGCGGTGTGACAGGGTTGTCGGTCAACAAATCGGGCAACACAGTTTCCGGGCGACAGCAACATGTTCCCCGACTGTCGTTGTTGCCTCGATGTGACAGGGTCGCCGGCAACACGATTTCCCCGTGTTGTCGGATAGAGTTGTCCAACTGTTGCCTCAGTGTGACAGGGCCTTTAACAATGCTGGGTTGGCCTTGTCCGATCGAATCCGCGGTCGTGTGCGTTCACGCCCGGCTTTCAGCTTTCAATCAACGCCGATAAGGCTGACGGGCCCCTTTCCCCCGCAGGGCTGGGGACAATGACGTGGTCGCCGCAGGCCTTCGGCGTCCTAACGGGGAAGTTTGACGAAGGCGTCAACCTTCTCTCCAGAGGTTCGTTTAGGGTAAGTTCGTTATTAGTTTATTACCGACGTGCCGTGAGCGGGGAAAGGCTGCAGCAAGGGTTTGTTGGCGGTGGTGCTGTTGAGCCAACTTATTCGCGATTATACTTCGTCTTACCTTAGCATGGACTATCGTTAGCCGCACATGCTGAAAGCGCGAGCTAGTTTCTTTGGATGAAGCCTCGGCGGCTGCCCGAACGCTCGCTCAGCGAGTAATCCAGTTGAGGCTAGCCACTCGCGCTTGCACAGCCTTCGCAGTTAGTCCATGCTAAGGGGAGACGAAGTAGAACCAGATAATCGCGTCTGAGGGAGGTCCATACTATTTTTCTTCTGTCATGCAACACTACGCCTTTTGTTATTATTAGTTCTTATTTCGGACGTGATTGGATGCGTGTACGTGAGCTCAGGCGCCCTCTGTGCTGTCCAGGTAGACAGGCAACGTGCGTGATCTGTATTCACATACCACTGCGCTGCGCCATCAAGCACAGCGAGATATTTATGGAGCATGGTAGTTGATTGATTGTGACGATGGAGGCAATCCAATTGACGGTACAAAATCACTACAGAATAGCGTCAGGAAAACTACTATTCACAGGTCACGTGTTGCCTGACGTGTTTTAAAAATGTTCAGTCCACCTACGAAATGAAAACCGGTATACGCACTCTTCTCTCAAAGGGAGGTATCATCTAAAGCATTACCTCCCCCACTAATGTATCACATTTGTACATGGCGTCATGCGGTGATGAACCGCTATGCACAAGGCGCGACACTTACAGGCTATAGCGCATGCGGGATTTCGGCGCCATTTCGCAATTTACTTTGAAATCTTACTGGCAGACAATCAAAATTTACCGCTTAGGTTAGTACCCCAAATAAGCACTTTCCACCACTGATGTAGTTTCGATGGGAGTCCTTTTCAATATTGAGAAACAAACAACCAGCGGTGGCTTGTTCGTGTCGAGCAGTGCACAACAAGCTGTGTGGTATTCTTTCAACATGGTGTAACGCGCCAAAACAACAGGGACAAAAAACGAAGGGAGAACTAGACAGGACGCGGCATAACTCTAAATAACAACGAAACATATTTGTTAAATTTGGCTTGTTATAAATACGATATAACTGATCAGTTCAAATGGCTAAAGAAAAATCGCTCGACGATTAGTTGTTATGTCTCACGCGTATGACTCCTGCCTAATTATGTCCAGTTCTTGTTCTTCAGCAATATATCTCGGCGGTTACCGACAAAGTGGACATACCGGAAAAGGCGGTCTGTGAGCATGGAGGCCGGGTTCCCCGGTACCAGTCCAAGCTCCAGGAGCTGTCGTACATCGCCGACAGGCTGGGCTGTACCTGCAACCAGCTCACTATAGGTGAGAAACAGTTGACTAGACGCTAATTGGGACCAAAAGCTCGTAGCGCGTACGGTAAAGGCGACCGAAATTATGCTTTTCGTAGCATGGTGCCTCAAGTGCGAGAACGTCCATACTGTCCTGGTGGGAGCGTCTTCGGTGGATCAGCTCTACGACCACCTTGCTGCCCTGCAGGTAAGCACTGTGGACCTTCGTTGTCTAGTTTGGAAATAAATGACCACTGGTCTCCAAAAACATGTCCGTTCTTGAACGGCAACTTTTCCCAAACTATGACCGAAGTCCGCGACGATGGTCAGAGACGTCCGCGCTGATTCTGAAATTGCTTTTCTGAAGATGGGCCAGACAGTGACGACAATCCACTGGATCAAAGCAGATATATTGACGACTGGTGCTCTGGGTGCCAGTTCGCTAATTTTTGCCTGAAAATGCGTTGTGAAGATATTTGTCTCCGACGTAACTTCAACTAGTTTTTTTTTTTTTTTTTTTTTTTTTTTTTTTTTTTTTGCAACATTACGTTTTCTGCGCTCGTTTCCATTAAGTCAGAGGCTAGTAACAGGGTTGTTTTTGAATCAAACTTGCGACTTAAACTTTCGTCCGTTAACTAGAACGTTAGTGGCATCATGTTCAACATGCAGACCTCAGCCTTCACACTGATCGCAAATCGCGGGTTCCAGTGATAAACATAAAACGATGTAAAATCGATGAAGATACGAACACAGACTTGTGTGGTGCCTTTGAAACTTGTACATTTGTTTGTGGTTGACACAAACATGTCAACGATGAACATACTGTTGACATAATTGTGGCGATGCACAAGAATTACTTGGCAGGGCGTGTACATGTATACTGCGTGTTAAAGAAAGTCTTATGTACTACCGCATAATCAATAGAAACAAAAGTGAAGCGAGTCTTTAGCACTGAACATGTAATGGGCACGTGTTTGGTCTTGTCTAACCAGGTGGTACCAAAGCTGACGTCTTTAGTGATGAGCGAGATCGAGAAAGTCCTGGACAACAAGCCCCGAGCCCTGCTGCCCAGGTGACAATTGCAGGAGCCCTGGCTGGGCCGGCCCATCCCCGAAAGTCCACGGACCATGTCCGAGCAACACATCGCCCTCGAATGCGACGACGTCGTCGTCGTTGCTCCGGAGGACTCCCGGACCGGAGTGCAGCGGTTCTTCAGCAGCGTCATGCGTGCCTGTGTCATCCAGTAGCCTCTGCATTGATTCGAGGAATGGTGGCCGTGCTCCAGCCGCGGCTTGGGTCTTCTTCTTGGAACTCGCAATTCGAGCCCTCGAGCTCAGTTGCAAGCGCTTATTTGGGGCCATTTCACGTGTAGTCAGAAAACATGCTACCTATTCCATTGCTGCTGTCGGAATGGTAACGTCGAGCGCGATCCCGTCTTGTTCGTGAAGCATCCATCCGCGGAAAGTTGAGGCGGTTTCGAATCAGTTCCCCAGTCGACTCGAGCCACCGCTTTATCTATAAGGCTGGTTCGCCCATTTACGTTTGGGTGCGATCAAGTGCGTTGTAACTGCTTATGACGAGTAGAGAGCCTAGATTTAAGAGAGGGAGCAACTCAAACCGTGGAGAGAGTTTGCAATTTAATGGCAACCCCGAAAGCGGACGGAGAGGCGGAGAATCTTGCAGACGATCAACGCTTTCGTCAACTCCTGGCACCTCGTATTGAAAGCGCTTCGCATAAACTACGTGACCCCAATCGAGCGCTTGGAAACACTCTGAAATCTGGGCACACTACCCAGGAGAGGACACACTGGCGCCATCTCTGGGGTAGTCCTGGGATTTTTCCCATCGGCGCATATTTCCTTTTCTTACCCACCATTCCTTCACCGTGAGCTTGAAATGAGTCTGCCAACGTTATAAGCGACCATTTCTCGTGGATAGCGCGTAGGTTTTATCTCGCAAGTGCTGCAAAACCTTCAGTCTAGTTTAAAAACATACGCAAATCGGGAGTATACCACAGGGCTACCCCATAGATGGCGCCAGTGTGTTCTCTCGACAAAAGCAGTCGCAATCGCAAATGTGTGAACGAGCCTGTAGCGTGCAAGGCCGCGTTATGGAACCGTACGACATGCGACGTAAAGTTAGCCTACCAGTACTACAGGTACTTGGTGAGCTGCGTGCGAGCACTTCTACTGCGGTGTTCCTATAATTCCCCTCCAGAGCCAACTTCGCGAGCGTTACGAAGTTCTACCCCGAAGTTTTTGTTCTTTGAGGCACTGGAGGAACCTCCCCTTGTCGTAAACGGATGACCGTTGAGAAACAACTGATTGATATTGACTGCGCAGATTAACAGCACGCAGAGATCCGACAGTCATACAGCAATCGTTCGTGTCTTAGGTCGAGAAACGAGTTTGCCGGTTATAATTTTTTTTTTTTTTATGGAGGCAATATCGAACTACGAATAAGAAAGAAACCGATTATTCCCGGAAACGCTACCGTTTGCCCGCAGGTCGGGAAAAAGGGAGTTCATAATGAAGAACAGTAAGAAGCGGAACGGCCTTGTGTGTTCAGTCTAGTTCTCTTTTACGTTTCCACCCTGGATCGGGATTTCGATCGATCATCGGGAAATTACACGATACCTGTAATACGTAGTTATATATCGTTCTGTGTAACTGAAAAGCAGCATCACTGCTGAAGTGACAGATGTATTTGTTACAAAATCCGGAGCAGAAGGCGTCACAGGCAGCGGGAGTAAGGAAGTTCAGAGCATTGGACGTTGCAGCCGCAGTTGCGATCCCTGTGGCACCGGAGTCAAGCATCAATCGAGCAATTACCGTGGGATGAAATCTTAACGTACACACCCAAAACCTCATTGAGCCATGTTCCTCTGAGAGTACCGACCAAATGGGACCGTCTTTTTGGCGGACTTGAGCAGCCATAATAGAATCAAAGTCAATCGACACTTCGTTTTTATTCAAATCGAGGCGGCACATAGCTATAAACTGCTTTCAAAGCTGGTGATTTTGGGAGTTGCATAGCTCCGCAGCTAGGTTGCACGCCCGCTAGAGCCCGGATGAAACATACGATGCAGAACACACGCGCTGAGCAGCAAAGCCATTACAATATCCACTGATGTTTCGTCAGTTTCAAGCCACGCGTTAGTACACGCAACTGTTGTGTATTACATTGCCGAAAACCGAGGGTTCCGATGTACGAGACGGTGAATAAGCCACGACAGTCAGAAAACTCGTACGTTTTATTTGGATTATCCATTGGCGCTTTCGTTAAATTCCCTTCTGGACGTCGTATATAATTATACCACCACCCACTTTCTGTCGTTTTAGCGTGCATTATGCTTGAGCGTGAGCATTTGAGGCTAGTGGTCGAGCTAATTGCGGCCATGAACAAACGGTTGCTGCCACGTGCGAGGCTACGACAGAGCGCTGACAAAAGTCGACAGCAAGAAAGGATGCGGATCATTAGGGAAAATAAATATTCACAGCGTACGCATTAACGACTTAGGCCTGGAACCTGTCCGAATTCTGGTGTCTGGTTCGGTGCAAGGTTTACAGAATGCTGAGTCTGTTGCGAGTGTTACAGTCAACGTTCAAGCCCAGTTCTTCATCACGAAGGGGAGAAAAAAACAACGAAGAAACGAACTTGCCCCAAAAGCGTCTAAACTATATGTTTCAGTCTATGCCCACATCCAGTTTTAAAGGGGCGGTGCAATGATTTTAACGCAGAACGAATGTGCAGCTTGTATTTTTTATATTGTTTACTTCGGCATAAGTAAGAGAAAAAGTGCCACCATACCCCAAAATACCTCTATTTCGCTGCGTAATCGTAAAATAAAAAACGCTTTTTTTTCCCAACCTGCGGCCACATGGTGGCCGCAGATGGAACCTGTGGTGTGACGTCATTCGGAGTGGTTTTTGTAAGTCATAGTGTTAGGCAATTGTAAGCTTGATTTAAGGTTAAGTTTTAAAAAATCTTGTTGTTTAGGCATGCAGAAACGCTTCAAAAGCCTAATATTGCCGCTAAAAGGGTATGAATTATTTATGGCGCCATCTACCGCAAGTCAACCAAACCTGCCGTCGCCGTCATCCGTCGACGCCCGAGGCGCCTACGGCGGCTACACGAGCAACCCGGACGTTTTGTCTTTCCCTCGCTCGACGGAGTGCGTTGGTCGTGGTCCGTAGTATCGTGGTATCGTTATTGTTCCTGGTGTCTCGACCTCGACTTCGACTGCCCGCCGCGTCGCAAGCATCTTGCGTTCGACGTCGCTCAGGCCGTCCGCCCATGCCGCCATGTTGGTCGGGAATCGGCGGGAGAGCGGCGAGCCTGGCGAGCCGGCGATTGCTGGGGAAACGGAAGCCAGAAGCACCCAACCGGAAACCAACGCCACTCCGAATGACGTCACAGGCGAAGCTGGTGCCGCTTCAATGTTGAGTTGAGGGGTGCCAGAGATATCAATTTTTTTCATTTTTTTTTGATGAAAACTAGGGCTAGTAGGAAACAATGGTTTTCGGTCCTTCGTTTCATATGTGGCCGGGATCAATTCCCGCAATTAATTAGCCAAAGTCCGAAAATTGTTGCACCGCCCCTTTAAACCATAATTTCTTCGCTATGCGCTTGCAAGACTTTGCAAAAAAAAAAAATATATTGTTTACCACAGTTTGATGCTCGAGAGCTTTCGGTTATGTTTATCATGCAATTAAATGCAAAGGTTATAAGGTTATACGATGCAGTGACAGAACTTCCATTCCTCGAGCGTTCCAATGAATATTATGTCGAGAATGGCAATACCATGCCTGGAAGCTCGATTGTAGAAGGTTTCAATTTTTTTTCTTCCTTGTATGTCCTGATATCTGGCAGAGACGGATTCATGTATACTTGACACATTGTCTATTACATTTTCTATTTATTGAGCAGGCATGTCAGCCCCAAGAAAGTGCGACCACACTTCAGCTAAACTTGAATCAACCGTTCATAATGATGAGTGTGTCGTTATCTGTTTGTATGAATTAACTTGAGGGCTATACAGCTGATTATGCTGTATAGCAATAGAACTGTAATGTAGGATTATCGCGATATAGATGAATTCATATGACATTGTCAAGGAAGCTATATATTTATTTTTTTGCTACAATACAATTTTTTTTTTAGAGCGCAGCTCTTAGGGGCTTGTTTCCGGCTTGAGCGGCGTCGGCGTCGCCGTCGGCGTAACCGCGCGGTGCATTATGGGTAAATTTGCCCGCTAAATCTAGCGGAAAAATTTCCCCGCTAGATTTAGCGGAAAAATTTCTCCGCTAAATCTAGCGTAAAAATTTTCCCCGCTAGATTTAGCGGAAAAAATTCCCCGCTAAATCTAGCGGAAAAAATTCCCCGCTAAATCTAGCGGGAAAAATTTCTCCGCTAAATCTAGCGGAAAAATTTCTCCGCTAAATCTAGCGGAAAAATCTAGCGGGAAAAATTCCCCGCTAAATCTAGCGGAAAAATTTCCCCGCTAAATCTAGCGGAAAATATTCCCCGCTAAATCTAGCGGAAAAATTCCCCCGCTAAATCTAGCGGAAAACTTTCCCCGCTAAATTTAGCGGAAAAATTTCCCCGCTAGATTTAGCGGAAAAAATTTCCCGCTAAATCTAGCGGAAAAATTAACCCGCTAAATCTAGCGGAAAATTTTCCCCGCTAAATCTAGCGGAAAAAATTCCGCGCTAAATCTAGCGGAAAAATTTCCCCGCTAGATTTAGCGGAAAAAATTCCCCGCGAAGTCTAGCAGAAAATTTTTCCCGTTAAACCTAGCGGAAAAATTTCCCCGCTAAATCTAGCGGAAAAATTTTTCTGGGGGGTCACGTGACCCTCCAAGGTCACATGACCCCCCCCCCCCCCCCCCCCGCCCCGAGAACAGGTAACCCTCAGTACCCTTCCCTCCTCCTCCTCAAGAGCTGCGCTCTAATGCGGTGTTACAGGGAGTTGTAAACGGCTTTTTTTCTATCTGACACTTTTTTAAGTACTAGTACGGCTCATCGAGCACTTACGTGAACCTTCCGGAGGGTAGGACAGTTCAAGCTCACGCACCGCAAGCGCCCGAGATGGGAATGTTCTACTTGTCTATATAGTAAAACACT